AGTGGGACTCCCCCTCCAAGGGTGAATGTCTTTGAGAAGTGGCAGGAACTGTGACAAGTCAGGTCATAGGATTATCTTTCTGAGGGCCATCACCTGGCCCCTCTTGCCTGGCCCCCTGCCTGCCTGCCAGCTGGGGGCTGGATTGCCCTGGGCTGAGCTCCCTACTCTGGGCTCAGCCCCCTCAGGGCCAGGCCAGCCTCCCCACACTACCACCTTGTCTTGCATTAAGGCCTTTAAAGTGTACCATAGGTCCATCAGGGATAATTCACATCTCTGTGCATTTGCACTGTATAATTCCTCTGTCCAAACGCCTTTCTCCAACTCGTTCACCTGGCAAACTCAACTCCAACCTTCCTGTGGGAGAGTGGAGAGTAGGAAATCCCCGCAACTAGGAAGGAAACAGAAGTCAAGGGGTGCCCCCCGCCCCCATCAGCAGTGGCACAGCCTGTGAGAATGTGAAATATACATTTGGTTTTCATCCCCATTTCCTGGCATGCAACTCCTAAAATCCTTGGAATCTCCAAAGTGATAAGTGTCTTTTTGTATGCTGATGATTGCCTGATGGCCGTCTGCCCCTAGGCAGCTTCAGGATTGGGCTGGTCATCAGAAAGACCAGGGCGGGATTAGAGGGTTGGGACTTTCAGCCCCACCCTATGATCTCGGGGGAGGGGAGGGAGCTGAAAGTTAAGTTGATGGCCAATGGTTAATCAATCATGCCTACATAATGGATTCTCCATAAAAGGCCCAAAAGCAGAGGGTTCTAAGAGCTTCCGGATAGCTGAGCACGTGGAGATTACTGGAGGGTGGCTTTCCCGGAGAGGGAAGCTCCATGTCCCTTCCCCCACATATCCTTTTCTAACGGAGTGATAAAAGTGTTTCCCTGAGTTCTGTAACTGGCTTTAGCAAATTAATCAAACCCAGAGAGGGTGGTCTTGGGAACCCCAACTTAAAGCCAGTCGGTCAGAAGTTCCGGAGGCCCAGACTTGTGACGGTCTGAAGGGGTTGTCAGTTTTGGGACTGAGCCCTCAACCTGTGGGATCTGAGGCTGCCTCCAGGTAGATAGCTTCAGAATTAAATTAGAGGACACCCAGCTAGTGTCCGATGTAGAATTGATTGCTTGTTTGTTGATGGGGAGAAATCCCTGCATTTAGTCACAGAAGTCTTCTCTCTGTGTTAATTGTTGCTGTTTAGAGAACAGGAAAAAGCAGTTGGAGTTTTTCCACCCACACCCTGCTATATGAGGGCAGGTTTCTTGGGCAGGAAGCTAGTCCTGGTCGCCTAAGGGTAAGCTCTCTGCTTTTCTCATTTCTTTATTCATTCCCTTGCCCCTTTCCATGTGCTGGGTTTCTCTCTCTCTCTCTCTCTCTGTGTTGTTTTTTCTGTTTTGTTTTGTTTTGAGCCGGAGTCTCACTCTGTTACCCAGCCTGGGTTTCAATGGCATGGTTGAAACTCACGCTCTCCGCTCACTGCACGCTCTCTGCTCACTATCTCGGCTCACTGCAACCTCTGCCCCCCCGGGCTCAAGTAATCTTCCCACTTCAGCCTCTCGAGTACCTGGGACCACAGACACGCACCACCATGCCTGGTTAGTTTTTTGTATTTTGGGTAGAGATAGGTCTCACTTTGTTGCCCAGGCTGGTTTCGAACTCCTGATTTCAAGTGATTCGCCCACCTCAGCCTCCCAAAGTGCCGGGATTACAGGTGCGAGCCACCGTATATGGCCCTCCCTGTGCTTCTTTGCCTCAAATCCTGAAGCTATCTGAGGACACAGTCTTTCCTGGCCTTTGCTTTGCAGGTCCAATTCCTTGAGAGGATGATGCTGAGGGGAAGGAGAGGCAGAGAGAAGGAGGGTTCCGTAGACTGGGGAGGGTCAAGTGGTCAAAGGGTCCCCTGGGAGCACCGCAGGGAGGTGGCAGGGGCCTGCAGGGCCTGGCATGAGGTACTTGGAGAATCTCAGAAAGCCTCCCACCCCATCCCAGGGCCCAGGCTGAGTTACTGCCTACGGATGGTGATCAGGGCAGGCCCTGAAGATGAGGGTGGCTCCTATAAGCCTCACTCTCATGGGACCCTGGGGATTGAGGAGCCCCCTGTCTGACTGAGATAGGGTTTCCCTACACCCCTTGGGATACAGGCTCAAAGTTAAGTTAAATTAGGTGTCAAGAAAATAAAGAACCACCAGGTTTCTTGTACACCTCATAAAATAACCCACTATTGTGATCTGGTGTGCAGGTCAGGAATGTCTGGAGCTCCCCCACCATATGGAACTCACCTGTCTGCTTCTGGGGCCCTTCTAGAGAGCATCTTCACAATGAGAAGGAATTGCTAAGGAGAGGACTTCCTGGTGCCCAGGTAGTCTCATGAGAAAGACATCTTATGTAGCAGAACAGATGCATATGAGACCAGAAAAAGCTGTGATCAGCTCCTGGGGAAGGGGAAGGGGCTGGGTGAGTGGGATGCCTCAGTCATGTGTGGAGGGTGGGGTCAGAGAGAGGAGTCCCAGGTGAGGATGCAGAAGATAACTACATCACCGGACCCTCAGACATCCTCAGCAACCCCACCTTGGGGGATGATGGGAGAGTCATCCTGGGCAGAATCACTAGGCCCTCTTGCAACCTAATGAAACATTCGGCCTCTTGCCAGTGGCCACAGGACTTGCGTGGGAGACCAAGGTCAACCAGCCCCATGCCCACCTTTAGGTGAGTTGGGGGAGGAGGTAGCAGAATGCAGAGCTCCTGCCCCTGGCAGCTATGCTCGGTGTCTGGTGGTGGCTGCAAAGGTCTTCCTGGCCTGACTGCTCCCAGCTCTACTGCCAGTGGCTCTAGCCTTTCTGATTGCTGTTTGTTTCCAAGGCTAGTTTTCTGGGCTTCGTATCAGTTCTTTGAGATAGCTGTCATTATCTTCCTTTCCTGCTTCAATTATCCGGAGTCAGTTTCTCCTCTTTCTGTCCAAGAACTCCGAAGAGGCAGAGCTGTTAGAGAATACGAGATAGTGCTATCTGGGTTGAACTGGATGGTCCCCAAACCGTGTGTTCAGTGAAGGAAAGAGTGAAAGAAGAAAGTGCAACCAGATTATAACTGCCCTGAGGGCAGGGCCCCAGTGTGACCTGCTCACAGATGGACCTGGGAGAAGGGATGTGTTGTATGGGGAAATTGGGAACATCTGAAATATAAATGGCACCCCATTTAAAGACCCCCATGGTTGCCCACTTGTTGTGGGGTAGGGGAAGGAGGTGTCACTCTGGTGGGCTTGTTTTCTGCTCCTAAGAGTGTCTTCTGTTTGGGACAGAGAAAAGAGATTGTGCCACAGAAAAACAATTGACTCAGCCGGGTATGTTGGGAGGTTGAGGTGGGCGGATCACAAGGTCAGGAGATCGAGACCATCCTGGCCAACATGGTGAAACCCCACCTCTACTAAAAATACAAAAATTAGCTGGGTGTGGTGGCATGTGCCTGTAATCCCAGCTACTCGGGAGGCTGAGGCAGGAGAATCGCTTGAACCAAGGAGGCAGAGGTTGTGGTGAGCTGAGATCGCGCCACTGCACTCTAGCACTCCAGCCTGGCAACACAGCGAGACTCCATCTCAAAAAAAAAAAAAAAAAAAA